ATCAACGCAGCCTCTTCTTCTGCTGTCCACGCTCAGCACAAGCCAAGGGCCAAGTATTAAATAATTATAGTGACGGTAACCTTGGGAAATTCAAGATCAAAGTCGAATGCAGGAAGGGTATTGGTTAATGGAAGATTTGGTTGTGTAGAATAATATCAAAGCGGTGATCACTTACGTAATTTATTCTATTATTAATCTTGGAGATAGGGTATTTGGTCAATTACTGTCTTTATCAAAATTCCTGAAGCTTAGCCAGCAGTAATTTGTATATTACCATATACTTATTCAATTTGAGTATTCGTTAACGTTGAATTCTGGGTCTACTCTACAACGCCGTAAAACCAGTACCTACACTTAAAGCCTCCTTCTTTGCCATACAATGACCAGCTGGAATCTCATATTTTCATTATTCATCCATGCCTTATTGTCAAAGTCGCCCTGTAAATTATTCTTATCTGTTCAGCCAATTGATGAGCTTTCCTTTTCTTGTAAACATACGCAGTTGCCAGGAAAACAACCAGGTACGGCCACCGAATTAATCAAACAGAAAGTCAATGAGCCACGTATTATTATTGTGATGAAATCTGAGTGTGATGATTCAAAAAAATTTAAATTTAAATTATTAATAATGATTAATTTAGACTTTAACAATTATATTTACATAGGCTGTAAGATGAGTTATTACAATATTTTTTGTGATTATATGTTTAGTCAAAATTAAGAAATAATACTATTTAAAAGTTATTAAAGAACTTAGTTGGATAAAGTTTGAAAAGTTGGAATGACAAGATTATAATTACACGCCATTATAGACTTTTTATTAGCACTGGTCACCAAGTCAATTTTATGAAAGTCATTGAACAAATATATAAAGATAAGCCATATTGTACAAAAGAAAAGAAAATTGTAGGGGTGATTGTCGTTTGAGTCAGAGTTTGCCAAAACTACTGAGGTCTTCGTGAAATTTCAGCTTTCCTTGTGATGTTAATAGGTTTAACCATACCTAAAATTTGTGGCCACAAGTCGTTTTAGAAGGGGAAGTGTCCTGCAGAAGCAGTTAAATGAGCTTTCTGATTAACTCAACTTCCATATTTACAGTTCTTAAGCTAAAAAGTAATAATGCAAAACATACCCCAAAGAGAAAGAAAAAGAAAAATAGGCAATTATGCACGTTCAGCTATGCTTTTGCTGGTCTTGAGGCTGTTCATGCTCTTTAACGAAGTCTCCCCAAATCTTCTCTTCAATTTTTGCTCAGACAATACAAACTACACAAGTAACAGCACATTTGAAAACAACCTTGAGCGGGTTCTTGAGGCATTACCTTCCAATACTTCAGATACCGGCTTCTACAGCACCTCTATTGGAGATG